TGAAGACCTGGATAACTAGCTAAAAGTTTGGTTTTTTACAACAAGTTAAATCAACCGTTAATTAACTAATAACACCACTTATTATCCTTACTTTGCATCAAAAACCAGTTCAATCATTTACAGAAAACTTTTATTGTGACACACTAATTATTTTTATACACAAAAAAAAATTTTAGAACAAAAAAAAATTTTAAAATGAAATATTATGGGCAATGCCCCGAAGAAATTCTATAGTTGATCTAATGTTACGGTCATTTAATACTGTTTAATTCTGTATTTTACGATTACGATCTTGTGGTTTCTGTGGGGTCATGGTGTTCCTTGCAAGACCATTTCTACGTCAAGTTCGACTTTACTTTGATTGTCGGTAAAGTGTCCCAGATCCATACCTAACTTTATTACAGCTAATAATATCTTTTCATGCTTCAGTTATTTAGTATTAGGTTTTACAAGAGGTAATCAGCTTATAATGATTTTTATTAATAAAATTAAATATTCATATTTTAGTTTCAAAAAAAAATTCAGTTCCATTAGGGAAAATATTTTGTATTATTCATGAAACTCCTAATCAAAAATTAATTGATGATTTATCACCACGAAATTCACATATTGATTCCACAACACAATGGGATACCAAAAATCAGAAATTCACTAAAAGCTGCTCGATCCGAGACGAAAAAAATAGGAATTTATTTGCTAAAATAATTTTGAATCTTATAGATAATACAATTTCTTAAAACTGTGAATGCTCCACTATCAACCAAAGTCTAGTTTTTATTAAGTCTTCTAAGATTAAATTGATAAAAATGAAGTTTCATTTGAAAAATTGTACACTCTATTATTATATTAAAAACTAGCAATTGTATTTGCGTCGTCCTATTTCACATGGTATATGACATAAGAATAATGGCAACTTTATTATTACTAATCGTTGTTGTTGATAGACAATGACTTGACAGCAATTGCTTCCAGCCAAGCATACTCCGTCCGTAACCATCCATCAATTAATCAACCATAAACCAATCTCTTTGATTTTGAGGTCTTCCCATTAGTACAACGGCTGAGAGCAACATAAATTTAACTTTTCCAGGAGCAAATATCTGTTACAAACAGATAGACTTGGCAAAGTTAACCTTGGATCTTGTGGACAGTCAGACCAAAAGCATGCTGTACGGAAATTGAGTTCTGCTTGGAGAGAACAGCACCAACGACGGTGCAATTAACAGGAAAGGCAATCCGGACTTGTTCATTATCAACATCGACACCCGTAATTATTCCAATGGTTTCATTACAGATACCATTTTCCATTTGTGAGTTGTTCGGTAACATTATCCTGAAACCTACAGATTTGAGGAAGCTTGTCTTTCCTTAAAATAAATTATCGTCGTGATTTATTATTTGACCGTTTACAACATCTCAACCTGTTTATGGTAAGAGGGCTTGAAAATATTTTTTTTATTATTACTAATAAAGATTAGAAAATTTGTTTGTAAGAAATGCCTGAAAACAACAATTGATGGGAGTAATTCGCTCATTTACAGAGCAATGTTATCATCACCCATCATCGCTTTTTTCAACAGTATGTATTTGTATTTGTTTTCTTTTGAAAGAAAAATTGATCAAAACAAAAGCAAAAATGGTAATCTTTTGGAAAAGCTAATTTGACCCTAGTGTTGATGATCAAGTAACCAACTCATAAGAGTTTAAAACAAACGATTTGATTGTTTTTGATTTTTATGAAAGAGCATATCATGTTGGTTACATGGAAAATAATCGTGTAGTCATTCAAACAATGTTTTCTTTAATTATTATGAATCAAGCTGGAAGATGTGCAGATAATCGATTAAGAAGATGTTGAATTGTTAATATTGAAACTTTGTAACCTAATTTACTTTGTCCGGTTTTGTTACAATAATTAAAAGGTTAATTTAAATAAACTTTAATCGTCGGTCCATTGAGACTCTAAAATCTGCGTTTCCTACATACAAACCATTTTATTCATACATAAAAGTAATACACATAAGTCGGTCATTTATTTACATTGTCAATAATTGGTTGGTGCGTCTGACTACATCATCAAAATAATAACCAAAATAAAAAAATGCAGGCAGATCTTTCACATGTACCACCACCATTAATATATATAGATTTTAAGTAAGTGGTAAAATAATAAGAATTCATAATAAAAATTGACGTAATTTACTATTTTAAAAAACAATACGTAAAAAGAAACTAACAATGTTTAAAATTTTTGTTCTTTTATGATTAACTAATTTTATACTAAAATCTTGGAAAAAATAAGTTTAAATTATGGCCATAAAATTTCCCCTATTTGTCATATAATTGTTTATTATATTTTCCTATATTTAGAAAAAGCTATATTTAGTAAATTGTATTAAAAGATATAAACATTATCAACGATTTAATATATTAAGAAATTTAATCGCAACCAATGATAATACATGAATGTTACATGTGAGACATCTAAAGTATCTAGATTATTTAAATTTCATATCCGAGAATGAAATTTAACATCACAACCGACTTGTTAAATTGACTTTATAAAGATATAATTTGTTATATTAAGAACAAAGTATTGTTTTTTTAATATGTAAACTGAAACATAATAAATTATCAAATAAGCAGTTAATTTATATAATTTTCCTGATAGAGAGTACTGGAGAGTGGTAAAAAAGGTGATTCGAGTACATATTAAGAGTAATAGTAAAGTAATAGGGAGGCAATTTCCTTATAATTCTTGTCACAGCGGATCTTGCCACAGTAATAGTAATAATAACAATAAATAATAACAGCGGATTGTAAAACGTATAAAATCCGTTATTATTATTACTATTACCATTGCTATTATTATTATTACTATTATCAATGACGAGATTGGTAATTTTGGTATAGGGTAAAATTCTTTTTATGTGTCCCGTGACAAGTAATATATAATAATAGCAATAAATAAATATTCCCAATTGAATCATGCATAAAATTTGAATTTGGTTTTTTTTTTATGTTGTGTACGTAATATTAATTTACTATTGTTTATAATTAATATTATGTATTTATTTATTTGTAAAAAAAAAAATTTTTATTTTAAAAAACCCAACTTTCTTTTGTAATATATTTATTTTCCTTTCATTAATCAATTTTATTTTTAATAACTAATATAATTTAATGATTTTTGATTTTTGATAAATCAAAAATAATATTCTCGTTCTTTAATATTTTGTAAATACAAAAGAATAAAATCAAATACTTTTTGTAAAATATTCTAAAGAAACTATTATCACTGAAAATTATATAATAATAATAATAATAATAATAATAATAATAATAATAATAATAATAATAATTTAATATTAATAATTATGGGAAATAAACTATCATCAATAGTTGTTGTTAATAAAGGAAATGACTCTAGTTCGTGCCAACACATTAAAAAATATCTAGATTCCGATGGATGGTGTAAACAATGTTCACTAAAAAATAATAAATGGACAAGTGGAAATTTTCATGTTGATGAATTTATCATGAAAACTCAAAAGAAATCTTGTAAATGGACTGACAGTTTCTTGGAATGGATTCCGTTTGAAAACTTTCAAAATTTAAAAAAAATCGGCGACGGTCATTTCTCCACCGTTTATTGTGCTACTTGGATGGATGGCAAGAGAATCAAATCTACTAATAAATCAGTTTGTGCACGTTCTGCTCCAATTACGGTCGCTCTAAAAAGTATCAAAAATTCTGCAAATATTTCTGAAAAATATGTTCAAGAGGTAAATATTATCATTATTGATCTGATCTTGGGGATTTCGCGAATTGCACAATTAATTGATCGAAAAAAAATTTTTTTTTGCACATGCACATAGTTGGAGAATTATTACAAGTGTACATTGGTGAAATCTAAAAAACGTAAAAGTTATTTTTTGGAAATCTACGGAATGACGTTTAACGTTAAAACAGATGAATACATGTTCGTAACGCAATACTCAGAATTTGGTAATTTGAGAGACTTTATCAAAGAAAATAAATTCAGTAATATAAGTTGGTCACAAAAACTTTGGTGGCTGTGTGATATTACTTCAACTCTTACTAATATCCATAAAGAGGGTCTAGTTCATGGTAACCTCCATCCTGGTAATATTTTACAAATAGGTGAGGATGTCAGAGATACTCATTCCACAATAGCTGATGTTGGACTATCATTACCTGCCTATAGTGATTATAATGATTACACTGCCATTAATAATAATAATAATAATAATAATAATAATAAAATCAATGATGATGCCAAAAAAGGTTTTTACGGTGTGCTTCCTTACATTGCACCTGAGGTGTTGAAAGGAAACAAGTACACAAAAAGATCAGATTTGTACAGTTTGGGAATTCTAATGATGGAATTGGCAACTGGTGAACCACCATTCTACGAAAGACCACATGATCAGTCATTGATAAAAGAAATTTGTGAAAATCATAAAAGACCAAATCTCTTGGAAAGTACTCCATCAAAATTCAAGGATTTGGCTTTACATTGCACAGATCCAAATCCATATGCAAGACCACCCGCTAGATTATTATCATATATATTTAGTAATTGGTGGCAAGTAGTCGAACAATCTCAAGATTATGAAATACGTCATCAATTCAACAGCTCAGATAAATTTATCAAAAATATGGAAGATGTCAAATTGGATCATGATTTTAATGCCATTTATACCAGCAGATATTTTAATTTCAGTGATTTCCAAAACATTCTTATTGTTAATGATGATGATTACGATGATGAGTTTAATGAAAATTATATCAATAATAACAATAATAATAACAATAATAATGATCAAAATAGTAGCAAAAGCGATATTAATAGTGACAGCACCAGAAACAGTAGCAGTTATGATGAGGATGATGGTTATTATTGTTATCTACCTCATCATCTAGATAATGATGATGATTATTCTTCCATTGATAAAAATAATGAAATGTTTCATGCAGACATCAATAATAATTTAGAGTCAAAATATTTACTCGATCTTAGTGTTTCACCTTGATTTTAAAAAAACTTCGATTTCATGTAAATATCTAATTATCGTTTATTTTTTTAAAAGAGAAAAAAAGTATTTATTTTTTGTATTTATAAAACTTAATAAATATAATTATCATCCCGTGTGAATTTTTCATCCTCTCATGTGTCATTTGTATAGATAGACTCTATCAATAGAATTCATTTAAAACTTTCTAATGCCCATATATATATTAGAAGTGACGTCTTGGCAGAACGCCAAGTTGTCCTTCCAAGCATCGGCTCTATGCAACTGCAAGATTTCAAAATTGGTAAAACTAATTGCCGATCCTATTGTGAACGATTTTAAAAATCACCTGAATTTCTTGCAATAAAATTTCACGTGACTTAATATTTCTCAAGCTCTTGAGATCGTCACATATTCCTCTGAAATGGTGTTCTTTTTTTTAGGAGGCTATTTTTAAGCGAGAGATTATCGCTTTGGTTGTATCTTAGGGTAACAAGGATTGGAATCTTTCACTGTGGTGCAACCTCCTAGTATGTCTTGTTCAGATCTTGTCACAACCTTCGAGATGTTGAAAAAAAATAGCTCACAGTCTCCCACCTCCTATGTAGCGAAGCATAAAAGAACGTGTGACATTCGCCGGGCGATTACCCACCCTGCACTTTCTATCTTTGGTATTGAATAATTTACGATTTCGGACCTGGGGCTTTGGATTGTATAATTTTGGAAATTGTCAGAGTAGGCGAGGTTTCAAAAGGCTCGTGTTTTGATCTGTAAAAGTATTTGTCAAACGCGTCAGCCAAGTAAGAAGCATGTTGGTCACAGTCCATGTCTTCATTGCTCCTCTCGTCGCTTTTAAAGTTTCCTTGTTTAGCAAGTGCAGATCTTAGAAGGCACTCAGAGGATGCAAAAGTGAAGTAGTGGAACATCTGGTTATTGGGTACCGGAGCAAAAGTATCATCAATTCTATTGCATCCAGCCTCCTTGTCATGATATGGTTTCGGTATTCATCAGTTTCATTAATGTTGAACAACTCGGGCTGCTCAGCTGCTGACATGGAATAGCCACATAAATTTTCAATATATAACGTCCACAGGATTTGCGAAATACGCCATGAAATACATCAGCTCTCCTTGCTTTACGCAGCGATAGATATATCTTAACAGACTGAGAGAGCAATAGGTTTTGACAGATAGCGGCCTCTGGAGCATGGTTCTCCATTGAGATTTGGTCCTCCATACATTTGATGATTACAATGGTGTATCTGATACCTCATGACCAAATCGTACAACGTTTTTCCGTGTCTGGTTCAGGAACGTCTGCACGGATCATGTGAGATCAGCTCGCCTGACCTTTTTTCTGTGTAGCCAAAGGCATGCGTGTGGATCATTCCGCAGTTTTGAAATTAGTCACGTTCGAAGAAATGCTCCCACTTGCCCCAATTTACCATCCTAGGGTTCTTCCACAATGTGTTTTGGACGTTTGTCGGCCAATTTTTGTAGTGCAGGTAGGAGTGCAACGGGAAATTGAAAAGAATGGAAGGCTATCAGATGTCTCAAAGTTTTATGATCTTGGAAAGAAAGAAAATAAATCCATTCATTGATCTTCAAGTCAATTTTTACAAAAACATCGAAAATTCTTTCCTGCAAATTCTTTTTTATAGAATGTATAAATAAATAATTTTGTCCCATAAAAATGAATCATTATTTAAACACTAGCCAACAATCAAATTATTGAATGTGCATATTTCGATATCCAAATTTCAAAAATCCAAAGATATGATAATTATGAGAAATTATTTATAATATCACTGTTAAATATAAAGGTGAGAAACCACTAACTCCCCCCAAAAAAATCGCAAAGAACGGTGCATTGGCTTTGCTTTTTACGTTGTATTCGAATTCGAGGATCGAGGAGCGTAGTGTGGAAATGGCGTTCTATGTATGATTTGAGTTTACATTATATCTATAAATTCGTTCGGAGCATCAACATTAGCCAGTCATATTATTATTATATCAATACTTTTATTTTATTCGTTGCGTTGAGCAAAAAAATTATTTTTTTACTTAAAAAAATTACATATACAAAGGGAAATTATTCAGGAATCTAGTAAAAAAAAATCCTTTGCAAAGAAGACCTTACGTGAATCAAAATTTATTTACGAATTTCGATTGTTAAAAAAATCTTTTTGTCCTCGTGTTTATTTATTTATCCCAGATTAAAGGTCAATTGGATCGATTGGATTTTTTTTTTCAAGTTTATCGTTATAGAAGAATAAACTTCATGCAAACATCAAAAGTTATTGACAAATTTCGATTGTTAAAAAAAAGCAACCAAGGTTTTTTTTCCTTAATTAAAAAAAAATTTTTTCTGCAAATGGATTTTATTTATTTTCTACCGAAAGGGAAATTAAAAATAAAAATTTTCCTTCCAGATCATATCAAAAACAATTTGTACATGTTCGTTTATCGATCATTGAATTGACCGGTAATAATAATGACAACAAAATAATATGAAAAAAAACATCTAAAGCGAAACACGATTTCACTCGACCCTGACGTTTTGAACAAAAATTGATAAATTTTTCGGTTGCAAATAGATAGATAGAAATGGGAATTCGCATGATACGGCGATGTAAAAATAACCACAACCATTTATCATTTTCAGAAAATGATTTTGATTTTGATCTCACCCTTCCCCAATAATTCAGTTTACTAAAGTTGAGCAACAAAATATTTAGAAGATTCATGATTTGCACTGAATTTACCGTTTCATGTCTTTAACAGCATTTTCATGTGCAACAAAACATTGCAAATTTGGGTAAAATTGTTAGATTAGGGAAACATAAAAAAAAGAAAAAAATTACAATTAGAAACACGGCAACCTTTCTTTCTGTTATTCAAAAAAAATCTCCACTCTATTCATTAAAACACCAAGTCAAATTTATATAATTTTTATATAATGTTACATGCTAAATTAATGTCAACGTTATCACTAGAAAAAAAGGACTTTGTATATAAAATTTTTAATGAAATGTATAGTAATGCTAATGTTAATAATTCTGATAGAGAAAGTATAAATGATTATTTTTTCTCATTAGTTGAAAAAAACAAGGAACTTTCAGAAAATGAAAAAGAATTTTGTAAGGAGAAGTTTATTTATAATTTTGAATTACAGAATACAAGAGATAAAAAAGGCAAACCAAAAGAATGTAACAAATGTAAATTAACAAGATACTCTGATAGGTTCTGTGAAGGTTGCATTAGATTACAATTACAGAGCACCACTTTGACATCTGGAAATAACATAATTGATGATTTTATTCAACAATGTCAAATGAAATCATCTTTGCCAAACTATATTTTAGAATGGATACCTTTTGAGCAATTTAAAAAAATAACAAAATTGACAGAAGGTGGATTTAGTTCAATATATACTGCTACATGGATAAGAGGACAAATAGTTGATTATGACGAAAATAAAAAGGAATTTAATTATTTTGGAGCTCAAAATGTAGTATTAAAAAGTTTAAATAATTCAAGTAACCCAGGAAAAGGCTTTTTTGATGAGGTTGGTAGTTGCTATTTAAAACAATACTGTCTGTATTATATAATACTAATTGATTTTATTTATTTTCAGGCAATGAATTATTGTAAAATTAAATCACCACAGATTGTTCAGTGCTATGGTATAACTAAATTCCCAGACAATGGAAATTATGCAATAGTTTTAATTTATGTTCCAGAAGGAAATTTAAGGGATTATTTACAAAAAAATCATTTAAATTTAACATTAAAAGACAGAATTACAATATTTGTTTATTTATGTGGTGCATTGTATCAGATACATCGAAAAGATTTAATCCATTGTGATTTACATAGTGGTAATATACTTGTGCAAGGAGGTGGTTGTTATATTACAGATTTAGGATTATGTGGACCAGTTGATGAAAAGTCATCTAATAAAGTCTATGGAATTATATCATATGTTGCACCCGAGCTACTTAGAGGCAAAAAGAACACCAAAGAATCTGATATCTATAGTATTGGGATGTTAATGTGGGAGATATTTGCAGGTCACCCACCATTTGATGATAGAGCTCACAATCATTGTTTGATTTTTGATGTATGTGAAGAAGGTTTACGACCACCAATATTACCTGAAATGCCTGATTATTATGTGCAAATGATGCAGAGGTGTTGGGATGTGGATCCAACTAAAAGACCAACCAGTAGAAAGCTTTGGAGATTTGCTAGAAATAAATTCAAAGAAATTACTAATGATAATAATAATGCTACTAGTAGTGGTAGTAGTGCTTCGCAACAAGCACACAAATCACATCCAGATGCATATCATACAAGTAGAATATTAGACAAAGAGATTGCTAAATCTAAGAGATTTAAAGTTTATACAAGTAATGATACTTCGTCATATAATCTTGATTTTAACTAGAATGTTTACAAAGGTAATAAAAACTTCATTATTAATCAACTGGGAATTACTAATAATATTGATTAATTAATTAAACATTAGATTCTAGTAATAATTGTCAAAAGAAAGAATCGATTTAAACTTCACTATAAATTTATTATTATTACCTTTTATTTATCTTTTTATTTTATCCTATTTTGTTTCTTAAAGCTAAATTATAATAATGTTTTGAAATAATAAACTTTTTATAGTTTTTGATTCTTGTTAAATGGTGATATTGCGAGGTGTCACTTTGGTTAATTCTGGTTTAACTATTAAGACTACTCTACTCTTGTCAGTTAATTCGGTGTTTGTCAATTAATTATTTTACAAATTTACTTTGGTTTCCTCTTTCTTGCACTTAGACGAATCTGTGAGCACATTTAATGGCATCAGATAACTGTAATTAAATAAAGACGGCCCTTGCAATGCTATAAAGTTCCTTTTATTCACTTGTGATCGATTTGTTTCAGTTGTTTACATTTATTGGCAGATTGCAAACTCGCTTTGGTTTACTTGCTTAACAATCTTACGTTTACAATTACAATAATACTACCATTTCCGATTAACCCTTAGACGGAAGATACTTCATTAACACTCATTAGTTAACCAACGTTATATACTACATTAAACTACTGTAAATTCTACCAGCCAATTGATTTAACCGATCAACTGATTTTAATATTGGTTCCTAATAAAAATCGTTGACCATTAATAAATTTGACCCTATTAAAGATGAATACATGGATATTATGATATTATTTCTACACGTTTTAATCAGGTTACCTTTCTTTCGGGTAAATCAATACAATATAACAAACCTTTGGGCTAGACAAAAAAAGGAAATATGTCATCCGTGTGGATTAAATATAATTATAAAAATTTTTTTTAATAAAAGTAATAAAGTAATAAAATAAACAATATTTATAGAATATAATTGTTTGCTAATTCATGCAAACATTTTATTTGAATTAAAATATTTTTTTACCAAATTAAATTTTACAAATTTTAACTAAATCAAAGCACTTTTTAAAGTCTAAAACTATTCTTGTTCTTTGTATATTTTCCTCCACCTCCTCTAATTCACCCATCATTCAACAGATCATCAGTCGAGTTCTCCTTTTCTAGTCTTTTTATAGGAAGATATGTTGGAGGTTATGCCATTTTTGTAAAATTCTGAGCAATAATAATAAGTGCGTCGATTATCCTTTATTTTATTATTTTATTATTTACATAAATTCATCCTAAAAAGAAAACTCAATTAATCGATTCCACGCTCTTGTATCATCGCCTTGACTTTTATAATCATCCATGAATTCAATTGAGCTATCTTGAGACATTAACGAAGCATGATCCAATGAGGCGTTAGAATTTTCCATCATACAAACACGATCAGATTGTGACAATGTAAGACTCATAGAACCTTGGCTACTATAAGCATTTTGTGTGAGAAGTCCTTGTGATGAGATTGAATTAGAATATCCATTAAATGGTGAAGCTGTTGATGAAGCTGCGGCTGCAGATGATGGTGAATTTTGATTTTGCAGTTTCGTGTTTTTACGACTGGAGATACTACTTTGCGATAAATCTTGTGTAAAAGGTCCGTTTGGTGTTGGCAATAATGGAATGGTAAATTGTGATGACGGTGGTATGGCACTCATGTCAGATGGTATATAACCAACAGGATCATGCGTTCTAATGAAATCTTGATCATAAACGCGATTACCACGACGATTTTCACTAGCAACAGGTGCTTTTGCTAAAGCTTCACGAGCATCAATTTGATGAGCCAATCCTTGCCTGAATTTATCATCCTTATGATATGTTTTCCTTGGCCTACTGAATTGAATCATGCTAACCTTTAAATTGCTCAACGGCCCTTCGACTAAACATTCTTTTTCTTTGTAATGAACAAGAAGATGATGCCATAAGGGATGCTTGCTCAAAACCTTGGGATTTCCCAAAATAACAACGCCATATCTAGATCTAGTCAATGCTACATTCAAACGTCTAGGATCATTCAAGAAACCTATTCCTTGATGCTCATTACTTCTAACACAACTCAAAATAATATAATCTTTTTCACGACCCTGGAATGCATCAACACTTGCCACCTCGATATCTTTATACAAATCCTTACGTAATGATCCATTGGATTGCATATAACTAACAATGTAGCTGCGTTGTCCCTCGTATGGTGTTATTATGCCTATTTGAGCTGGGAAAATTCCTGATTTTAGAAACTTTGTAACTACTTTCTCGCAGTTTGATGCTTCTGTTCTAAAATTATATTTTGTTGAGGAGGAATAGAGAAAAACATTTAAGATAAAAATCATGATATATTTATCTTTAAAAAAAAAAACATATAGTAAATTTTATTTTACCTATTCAAATAGGAAGTACCACTACTTGAAATCTCTTCTTGCCCTAAATTAGAATGGAAAAACATTGGAGTTTCAGGGACGGGCCATGGGAAATCAACATTTTTTCGAAGTCTGTCTTGTGTAGTTACACCATTTTGCAAAGAGCCTTCGTAAAACATATTACTTGGAAATTCGGAAAGACAAGGATGCATACGGTACTGAACTTGTAATCTGATTGGACGTATGCCCAAGATAACTAATCTTTCAAACAATGATTGACAAAGACCAGCACGTGCTGCTTTTTTGTTCATAATAACAGGTCCTAATTGTTGGTGATCACCTACAAGAACAGATTGCTTACAACCAAGAACAAGTGGTATCATGCATTCTGGTTCAGTTGCTTGAGTAGCTTCATCAACCAAAACAGTTCGAAATTTAAATTTGGATAAACGAGGATCTCCTGAACCCACACAAGTACAAAGAATAACATCAGCGTTCTATAATAAACGAATATAAGTTGGAAAAAAGATGATTAAATCATTAATTAATAAACTTTAATAAAATGACTTTTTTTTACCCGTAAAATTTCTCTTTCACAATCACGTTTTAACATCTTGTATTTTTTCTCGTCAGAACTACTCAATTCACCCTGCTCTGTTTTCAATTGAATCAATTTTTGCAATTCGAGATTGGTATCGTTATTAATCACTTGTTCATGTAATGTGAGAAATGAAACAGGCGAATCTAAAGCTTCACGAGATTTGGCAGTGAGCCTTACAACTTTAAGACCAGTTGCATGAATCTTTTCTGTTAGTTGATCAACTGCAACATTTGATGGGGCACAAACAAGAACTTGACCAGGATTCATTTTTGCAAGATGATATACAATTGTAGCAGAAGTAACGGTTTTTCCTGTCCCGGGTGGTCCTTGAATTAAACTTAAAGGTTTTTGTAGTACACTTTTGACCGCATAAACTTGTGAATGATTTAATTCTGGTAAGTTTGGTGCCGAAAATCTATTTATAATAAATGATGTAATTTATAAAATGATATATTAAAAAATTTTTTTCTTATTGTATATAATTATTTATTAATTGATTAATAAAAATCAACTAAATACCTTTTTGGCATTTGAGTACGAAGAACTTGAGGTTCAACTTCATGACCAAGCAATTTATGATAAATGTATCCACTGACCGAAGATTCATCAATGGCAAAAGTTTTCATTGCAGTTTGCATTCTATCAAAGCTAGTAGATTTCCATACAAAATCCACGGAGAAATTGTGTGTACACTCGACCGGTGTATTATCATTTCTACGTAATTCCAATCCAACTTCATCGCTAACATCTTTTTTTTAAAAAGAGAGGTTTGGTTATTATTGTTATTATTAATGCTAGCGTTGGTTTTTATTTAATAAAATAGTGCCTATCTTGTTAAAAAAAATAAAATAAGTAAATACATACTATTTGGAATTTTTATTACATGTCCAATACATTCCCAAGGCTGATGCAATTCACCACGATAACGAAGCCTCAACTCATCACCCACTGCCAAACGAACCTCTAAAACAAATAATAATAATAATAATAATAATAAACGTTAAAATGTTATCAATAAATAATGATAAAGTCCCAACTATTAATTAAAACATACCTCCAGATTCTAATTTTGGTAAATAAAACCATGCAATACGTTTCTGATTCAAACCAATATCCCATCTTACCACAATGTCATCTTGAGTTTGTGATTCCTTTAATTTTTTGTCATAATCAGCTTCCATTTTTACTAAAGGACCAAAAATATTTTGATATTGATACGCATCTTCATATCTGAAAAGGGATTTTTTATTTTTTATTTATTTTATTTTTTTCAAGAGGACAGTCCATATTTTAATAAATAAATAAATAAATACCTTAACAAAACAGGTGGTGGTTCATCGTCAATACCAGGTTTCTCCAAATCTTCTAAAGTAGCTTCAGCATTATCTTTCCATAACTCTTCAAGCTTATTTATTTGTTGAGCTGTGATCTGACGAGCTCTAAGTTGTTCTTGTTCACTCGGAACTTTTACAAGCCAAGGTAAGAAGCATCTGTCATCGATAAGAGGGAGCCATTGAGAAGTATCCCAATTCATATCTTTGCTACTTGGCATAGCAGCACAAGGTTGACTAATCAAAAAAAAAAAATCACATAAGTTCATATTTTATGTTATAATTATTTTTCTATAGAGTAATAACTTACCGACAAAGAAGTACAACTACAGTGTCACTTTTTGCAGGAATAAAACCAAGTAAGAACACATTTCTACAACCACAATTATAACATTCCAAGGTAGTTTCTCCAAGTGGCGAGTCAGGATGCAAAGCCACTTCTTTATGTTTTGCACGAACTAAGTGGTTGATTATGTGAGAACCCGATGTATTACCTCTCGAATTACAAAACCATTTACTACAAGTAACACATCTAGCTATGGAATTTACCGAGTGAATACCACAATATCTAAAAAAAAGTTGCAATAATTATAATTATTGTCGTCCCGATACTTTTACGGAAAAACATTTTTATATAATAAAATAAATATAAACATAAATATAAATATAGTACCTGCAAGCGTGCTCAGGTAATCCTCTTTCGATAATGTTTAGAGACTGAAACGAATCTAGTTCATCTCCAACAACACCACTTAGATCAGGTTCAACAAATTGATTTTGGGAACCATTAAGTAAATTACTTGATTGCTGAGAAGCAAGAGTTGAATCAACCGAAAAGTCGTTGTAGTCGTAGTCAGTAGCTTGAGTGTCACCGCCAGAATATTCAAGGAAAGAAAAATTTTCATCTTCTTGAGTGTTCTGAGTATGGAAACGACTAATGTTACTCATGTTTGAATTATTTAGGATTTTTTTTTTTAATTTTACAATGGTATTTATTTTATTAATTGTGATCTACAATGGAAAAATATTTTTGTTTTCAAAGTAAAAAGATTTAGATAACCGAAAAAATTAGATATTAATATTATTGCATATCGGAAAAGATGCATTGGATAAATGAATAGAATAAAATAGATAAAAAAATACAACCACTATAGATATCTCTATAAACACCCATAAATTATTGTAGTTGAATTTAAAGTTATGGTTGTAGATTTTCATTACCATATATATCAGGTAAGTTACCATAAATCTTGATTTTATTTATTTATTGTTGAAAAGACCTTCTTCACTAGTTACAGTGGTGGAAACTTTTGATTATTTTTTAGTTCTATGTCTTCTTTGATTTACAGAAGTTTTTTTTGGAACAATTTATTTATGTAATTGAATAAAGTAGTAATACAAGTTAATTTAATATATGTATAAAATTTCAATGCATTGTAAACATTATATTCTCCAGTGAACGATGACATATAGTATCAACATTTCAACTTTACGGGATGATCCAAAAATATTATATTTGAATTATGCTAAATATACAATTGAATTAAATTCAGCCATTGTTATTATTTTAAGGATCTAATGGCTAGCTGTGAAGAAGCACAAATGTTTAGTAAAAAGGTTATACAACTATAAGAAAGCTCGAAAATACTGATTGAACATATGAGGAGCTAGTTGGTCATCCAGCTTTGATGCATGTTTATCATTAGGTTGTAATTTTTCTGAAAACAGTGGATACTTGTGAGAATATTCAAGTTATTGTTATAGAGGTTCAATGATCTTCCTAATGTAGTTGGTCATCCAGCTTTGATGCATGTTTATCATTAGGTTGTAATTTTTCTGAAAACAGTGGATACTTGTGAGAATATTCAAGTTATTGTTATAGAGGTTCAATGATCTTCCTAATGTTAGTTATAGTCTAGTTCAACTAATTAAAATACAAAATCAAATTAAAGACTTTCCATATGAGCGGAAAATTATATGATATCTGAGAAATTTCACACACTGGGAATTTTTGTATAGAATTGGTTTTTAAATCGAATTCATTAACTTTAAAATAATAAATCAAAATTATTATTATTTTTAATGTTCAAACCATTCAAGCTACTTCTATAGAAACATAATCTTCATTTTCTTCTTTTATAATCAAATCTTTGTTATTATTTATTATCAAAAAATTCCTTGTGAGAAACCTTTAGCAAAGAATTTAACATTATTGTCAAGAATTTTGTAATGTAAAACTGCTGGTCTGAACCATTTATCATAATTTCGGGGACCTCGGGCTATATTAATCTAGAAAATAAAAAATAACATTTATTAAAATATAATAATATTTTGATCAATACATTATAGGAATATTTTAATTAGTTACTTCTCCAGAAATATCTCTTGAAAATCCCGATCCTAATCCTTTAACAGATAATAAATAATCAGATTGATAAATTAGTGTATTTATTAATACTATTTGTTCTATTTCTTCTTCTTCCAGAATCACATCATCAGTATGAAGTAATGTTATAAGTGTACCCTCGAACTTTTTGATCCACCAAAAAAAAATCAAAAGAATTTTAATAATTATTACCATTTACTATTTAATCAATTATTATTAATTAGCTACCTTTTCAACTAAAACACGACATGCTTTAATAAATTCTAAAATATCTTTTATAGAAAATCCTGAATAACTCAAAACTGATAAGTCATCAAAAATTAAAGATACATGAGCATCCTTTGATGAATGTCGTGTTGAAATAACTTCCTTTATTGTATTATAAATATTTTGTAAATCTTCTTTTCCATTAGATATTGAAATGGAGACATTTTTTGATGCTGTTAATACTGATGAAGTTGTATTAGTGGTTGTAGTTGCTTTATCTGCTGATGTAATATTATCACTGGTATTTTGAAAAAAAAAAGAAGTTAATCCATCAAGAAATGATAGGGTTCCTTTTTGATTTGCAAGAGTAAGGTTTACACCCTAATTTAATTAATCGGTTACATTTTATTATTTCCCTGCATCATTCATCTCATTCATTTCATTTCTTATTTTTAATATCTAATCAAGAAAATCAAATAATTACCAGCTTTCTTCCAATTGTTGAATAATGTTCAAACTTTTGCGTAAACCCTACCAGAACAACATGTTTGTTAACTTTTAGTTGATTGGCTATGAAATGATGCAGAAGAAAGTTTCCTTGAGCAGACAATGTGTCAGTTATTAAAACGGATTTTTTAATTGGTATAAGATTATCTTCAGGGAAAGAAAGTGCTTCATCAAGAGATTCATATCCCATTGTTAGAAAAAAATTTTGTAGTATATCTTGGTCCTAGAGGTTTTTAAGAAATTTGGAATGACCGCATTTAAGGTTTTTTAATCAGCAACTTTGCTAAAAACCTTATTATACGATCATCATGTGTTACAGTCTACCAAATTCATAGATCAGCAACAAAAATTCCTGTTTGTTATTATTATATGATTTGATCCAGACTAAAATTAAAGAACCCTAACATTAGAAAAAAGAACATAATTTGACTTATAATACACGTATATGGGCCATGCTGCAACAAAACCAAAGTGAACATTGGTATTACCAAAAAAGCGTTTGATCATGATATTCATCTAGTAATATGAAGCTAATTTACATTAGGAACATTAACATGCTTTAAGAACAATCTACATATTTTTGATCATACAGTATAAACAAGTTTCAAAACGTTGAGCATAAAAATATTATAATCATCATTATTGTTATGTTGTTATTCAATTTATTTTTATACTTAAATTCAATGAATTTATAAATTAGGAAAAAAACAATTTAACAATATTAAATTGATAACTATCACAAGGATTTCTTGGTGTTATTTTGAACACGCCGTCTTTTTGTCACAAGTTCTCCATTTACAGATACTTTATCATTTAACATCCATGTAATTTTTTCAATTACTTTCTTCACGCATTTCCTTAGTTCCGAATCATCTCATAATACTTCATTACCAAGAGGAATAGTATCATCACCTTTATTAGCTGACGTATAAACTAAAGACTAGTGCCGTAAATTATGATGATGGTAGTAATTGTATTTACGGCATATGAAAAGTAGTTGCAATTACCTTTGCGACCACTTTTGCAACCATACTTTTTCCTTTTTTGGATTACGGCACTAGTCTTTAGTATAAACATCCTTTCCTTCATCAACAAACATAATGTACCACCATGTTGTACCAGTAGTAACAATTCCATATGTATAATTAAGTTCTTTTTTCTGTTTACGTTTCCTACTGTTTTCCTATAATATAATACCAACACAAGTTATTATTATGTTTACACAATTTTAAAAACCATATATACTTACTTGTAATGAACTATTGAGTTGAACGATATTCATTGCAATTCCTTCTTTCATATCACTTTCTTTTACTTCTGAGATACAGATTAATCTTTTGATTCATTTTCCTGTGTGTTGGGATTAAACCAATGTCAAAATCATCAAAAAATGAAGCAGCTAATTCTATCCATTTGAAAAGGATACAATTTACATATTACTTACTTTTTCTGACGATGAAAGAGGTTTTCTAAGAAATAAATATCATTTTTTCTAAATAAACTAGAGCAACGACGAGTGGCAGGCGATAACCACCACCACCATCCTTAAAACACTTACTCGTGTTGTTCTTTGTTGGTTTCTTGTCTTCTTCTTTTGGTGTCTTTTTTTGATGACATAAAAAAAAGAAGTTTGTGATTTGATCGACGCGTATGGTGCAGGACACCTATTACTATGGTGCGGGTCATCTAAAGACATCAAATGCTGTGCCGCACTGCCAAATCTTCAAATCCCAAAATAGTAATGATACTCTTTTGTGTCACGGGATTATAACATCACATGACTCAATCATTTTATCGTATTCGTTAATTAGTATTATCTAGCAATGTTACTATTGCTATTACGAATAATTCATAAATGGAAACATTATCCAGGGTCCTGGTAACAGTAAACAAGCATAATACTACAATAAATTAGATAAATTAGATAAATTTACTATATATATAATTAATGAATGAATTCTAACCAATGAAGGTGATAAATTATTGATTTATTATCAGATATTCATGATGGCAATATCCATTAATACATTTTCAGGGACTCTTCTATGTGAACGATATTTTTTAACAGCATATATGGCAGCTTTACATGGTAATCCTAATCTATAGGCTGACATATACCTGTAGCTTCTTCTAGCAAACTTTCTAATTTTATTCACAGATACTGAATCTAATGCATCAGGGACTATTTGATTTAAGCCTGTCCAAGAATAATTACAATTTTGTCTAGCATATTGTTTAGCTGATCCCCAAAAACTTTCAATGAAATTTAACTCACAATGGTATTTAGGGTAAAAATAATCTTATGACCTGCTTGTTCAACAATCTCCTCCAAAAGTGATTTTTGCTCCATAAAATCAGGCTCTGAAGACAATATTCTAGATGCACAACAATCAGCTTGACCATAATTTTTCTCCTTGCATTTTTTGCATATTTTTACCAGTCCTGGAACCCATAATCCTCTTTCTTCCAAAACAAGTTTTATTCCTTTTGGTTCCCCATTTGACAAAACCATAGATTGAAACACCCCATTACGCATTATGGTGACATGCATCTTAGGTTGTGCACCTCCAGAACTTAAGTTCATTCTAGATACAACTAAGGCATCTTTGCATATGATGTATGGTTAGAGCTTTGATCAAAAGCAAATATAGCAACACAATCAGGAAACATTTGTTCAAAGATAGGTATTGCTT